GCAGCGCCCGTGTTAACCCCCCCACCGGATCGTTTTAGCACCACTGCTACCGGCATCAGCCGGTCGAGCGAGCACCCCTCCGGCTTGCTGGTGGCGTCTCGGGGGCGGTTATCGATTCTCCGGCAGTGCAGCCCCCTCTCTAGACTCTGCCTCTGCCGTCACCCTCGCCCTAGCTCGTATACATTTCCGGATAAAAGGATGCCAGGAGGGAAGGAGCGAGCGAGATAGGGGAACAGCCAGGAGGGGGAGGGGAGAAAGAGGGTATGACGGCTCTCACCCCTCTCGGCCTCCTTCTTTTCACCAGTCCACACCAGGTTTTTAGTTTCTCTCATTCTCCCTTTCCCCCCCCCCCGTGCTCTCATTTGCACGCTCGCTACGCGGTACTCATTTTTTTGCATTACCGCGCTTGCACTTCGCTCTCCCTTCCTTAACCCCGGTGCAGTTCACCCGCGACTTTTTTTCCGCGCTCTCTTGCAAACAGCAAAGCCAAAAATATCCAACTACTTCTTCCACACTGACAAGTTTCGATGTCCTTTTCTTCCCTAGATCCTAGCATGCCCTTCCCCTGACTGCGTCTTTTTTCGTGAACCACCAGACTCACGTCCTGTTCCTCTACCATCTGCCAATCTTCTACTGGAGCAGTCAACGTAACTACCCTCCTTTTTTCCCACCCACGTTGATCCGTCCAATCTACTATTCAAAGGAGCGTCTTGATAGTCCTCCCTCCCATCCTCTTTTGTTGGTCATCAGCCGACTAAGGTCTCGTTTCGGCTCTCGACTGCCAAAGCAGTAACTATTAGCTATTATACGGAGCGGAACTTTAATTATAACATCACCAGAGCGCAGTTAAATGGAGATAAACTTTCTCTCGAGATTGACTGTGTCTCGTAACTCCGAGCCACTACCATCTATTTGGCATTTTTTTAAATGCTTTAGCCATTTATCACATCGTCTCATTGAATTCTATAACTTCACTGTTGACAAACTCGTCGTTGGTGTATACTACTTGTTGTTCGGTTTTAGTTCTGTATTCCCTTTGTCATGAAAATGAAGCCTCACAAATGATTACGTAGCTTTGAGTAATGAAATCCTAATTTCACATCTCGAAATAGTTTCTGTACTTCTTAGTGAGTCTTAAACGAGTCGTAAATTACATCGTTGTTTCTGCATTGATCCCATGTTGAACCTATGTTGATTCAGCATTGAATCAGCATCGATATAAGTAAATATTAGTAGTTTACTTCAAAATAATATACCTTTTTTACGTTAACATTGCAGTTGCGATTCAAATAACTTTTTTGAAAGTTTATAACTTCAATACTGTCAAGTTGATAACAAGTCAGCGTTGATTCAACGCTGAATCAGTATCAATTATACATGGAACTTATATAGAATGGACGATGTAATTAACGACTGATTTCAGCGTTGATTTAGCATTGACATTTTTAATAGGGTTACCCACAATGGTAAGGAACAAAAACAATAATCACCATCAGCAAAGCTTTGGCAAAGTAAAAAAGTAAGTTCTGGGTTATTCAACACGTCATTTAATTCTACAAAAACCCTAACAATCTCTTCTCTGACAACAGTCAAGCTTGGCTCTGAGAAAATTCAGGTCCCAATGTGCCATTCGATTAGCTATCTTTATCGATTACCATCAATTCTATCGCCTTTATGCGTTTGTTCCTTTCTTCTCTCTGGCTTCGGCCAGCAGATGCGTATACACCCGTTTGTTCGTTCATTTATAAGGCAGTATTGCTGGAAATAAGTGCTGCTATTGATATGAACGTATAGACTATATAGTCATATTGCATACGTGCAATGGATGGAAAAGTAGAGACAGAAGGCTTGAACGTGTATACACGTGGAAAACACAGAAAACTCAACGCATACGTAGATATATCCAAGGATACATGAAGGCTATGTTGTTTGTACAGGTATAAGGGAGCGAATCAAATCGATTCGGACTTGTCACTATACTACTTGAAAAAAAAAAAAAAAAAATGTTACTTAGTCCTATTTTTTTCATCAGAGAAAGATAGCTCAATGTCAGTTTCCATGCAAACGTAGGTAGGTTTCGAATAGAAACACGAGGACTGAGGTACACGCTTGAGGGCGGAAAAAATGATAAGTATCGTTCTTTCGTAAGTGTATGTATACGTACATACAGAGGTATCGAGTTGTGCAATATGGTTAAAGAAAGGAGGTAATGGCGCGCGACAGGGGCTTGCAAGAACAAAGTGAAAATGGAGGAATACGTCGGAGAATAGAGATGCTGGATGCTGCAACTGACGGGATAAAACGAATTGAGAGATTGTAGTTGTAGATGTACGTGTGTATTGTTGGGGGCAGGGAAGAAGGGGTCGAGGCACTGATGCGTTTGAGTTGAGGGATGAAAGGAAGGGTGGAGGGATCAAAAGGGGAGAAGTGAATGATGTTGAAGAAATGTAAATTACAGTTAACATGTTTTTTAAAGTCAGAACGTGGATGAGAAGAAATTTGGGAATTATATAAGCAGCCAATGGTGAATCAGTTTGATGAGTACGTAATTGATACAACTTATTATCTACACCTGACTGTTTTATGTTTTGGACGTCATTTGTGTCATTTGTACTGTTTGATGGAAAATAAAACCCACACTAACATTTGTGCAATTGAAAAAAAAAAAAAAAAAAAAAAAAAAAAAAAAAAAGCCAGCACGTACTGTAAAATACCGAAATGAGATGTTAAAATAGATAATAAACTAGTAATAAAATTATTGTAATAGTTTTTATTCCTCTAATATACTCGGCTGATAAACAAAATCTATCGCTCTAAGATTTTGTTTAACGTAGAGGAGTTAATATTTGTCTTCTTCATTTTTATTATCCTATGATATAACAAACGATGAAAATTTTTGAATGCATCAGATATCATCTACAGATTGTTTAATTTTTATCTCAGTCACGCTTATACAGTATCAATGAGGTATATCATAACTAAATATTCGACTCATTACTGATGCTCGGTTCACGCACTATAACTTGACCATACCTGAATGTAAGTAATCCGATATCACGAAAATCAATAACATGGTTATCTCCTGAAGTCGCTAAAATTATCCGGTAAAAAAATTATTATTCTTCATGCAAAAATAACAACTAATATATTACTCCAATTTTCCATATAACATGTAGCTGCACCTTGGCTACGTTTGTAGAAAGAAAATACTCAACAGAAACTCGAGAGATCCTAAAGAGGATAAAAAGAGAGTGAAAGAGAGGGTGGACTTGGAAATGAGGAAGTAGGGGAAGGCACCCGATAGACGGGTAATGAGGTTACTCGTACTTTGAGACGCAGTCGAGAGCACATCGATCGCCGCGTGAATCTCCACCTATAATCATACTCCAGCGGTAGAAGAGGAGGAAGCGCAATGGCCAGGTTACAACTGCTACAGCATGACGGCTTACCAGAGTCTACACATCTTCCTTGTAGAAAATGAGTGTGCCGATTTCCGAGATCGCGTCACGACTCTCTGTAATGCCAAGTGAGAAGTCAACAAACAAAGGGAGAAATGTGGAAAGAGAAACTTCCAGCGTTATTTCCGTATTGACGGTCGACGACCGCCAAGCTTTTGGTATCGATGCAAATTTTCGCACCGCGCGAACTTTCTACTCAGCTATTTTCGTATAAGAATTTGCTCACTTGCGATTTTCACTATAATTTTTTTAAGCTGATCGTCATAAATGGTGTGAACAAATTTTTCATACAGTGATTCTATTGTAAAATAGCAACTATAACTAATACCAAAAATTATTTCGCTACAAAGTTTTTCAAAAAAAAGATGCACAACATTTTTTAATAGTGGAATAAAGTCGATTGTTGCCAAACACGTTTACTCTGGTATAGTTGACGTATGTTATGACATAGAGTACCAATTGCTGCTCGCTAGAATAAATACTCTGAATTTATGGAACAGCATGTTAAATGGATTTTAAATCATAATTAAATATCACTGACAAACTTTTATTAGGAGTGTGTGGCTAAAACATTCTGGAAAGTCTAACTGATAATTTTAATACTTATTTTCAACTACTTTTTAGATGGGTTTATGAATTAAAGAAAAGTAAACCCTGCTTTTATTTCCAAATTCGCAGTAATTAGGTACTTAACCCAAATATATAACTGAAAAACAAAAAATGTTTACTATGATGGACTTTTTAAAACCAAATGCAATATATTTTTTTTTAATATTTCACAATTACTTTCATGAAAGTTGAAACATTATTTTCCATGAAATCTATTTAATTCAAAAATTATTTGAAATTTTTTATGGAACTGAAGTTTAATTAAGAGAAAAAACTTTGAATTCACAAATAATAAGAAAAATTAATTCTCTGTACAGAAAGTACCTGATAAAACTACTTTTCATGCAGTGTAAAATGCTACATAACTTCAAAAAAAAAAATTTTCATATCTTAAATACTACGATAACTTTGTCACACTGTGCTATCCCAAACTATAAAATAAATTGTGTACAACAATCCTTAAGTACACTAAATTTACGAATTTTATAGTACCCATATCATATAGCACATGGTACAATACTCTCCACGTTTTTTAGAAATATAAATAAAAGTTTGACTACTCAAGAGCAAGCAATAACCACCGTCTACCTCTACCCTATTGTGCTCATTACTTTATTCTAGTAACCTATTTTTTTTAAACACTGAATGTTTCGATACGTTTAATAAATACATTTAACTTGTAGTACTTGAAGGACAATAATCCTGATACGTTAAAAAAAAAAAAAATTAAAATCCCTTAAAAATGATCTCATATCTTATAAAATGTAGTACTGTAGTTGAATTAACAATGGAAAAATAAAGATTTGAATTGTGGTTATCACAATTTCTATAGTATTTCTGATTCAAGAAAAAAAATATATATGTATATTTATAGAATATTGTAATGCGTATAATGTATTATATTTAAAAATCTGTGTTTTGTTTTTGTTATAGAAGCAGACGTGGCAGTGAGAAAAGCAGCGGACGTGGCGAATGCGTCTGCTTGCGGTGCTCTAAAAATGGTTGCCTCGACTCACAGCCTCGATGACCTGGGAGTCAGTCATATAGCTAGCGTAAGCCATCAGAGACACCAACATCATCACTCAAAACCAGCTCAGCCCAATATTTTGGACAAGCACCACAGCACTAGTCATTTGTTCGGCAAGAGCACCCAGGATAAACGCAGTCGACTCAGCAACGTCATCAACAATCTACATAAAAAAGTGCCACCCGAGCCCATAAAGTGTGACTCAGTGGTCGGAAGCGGTCTTTCCAAAGGCGAACAGGACAAACTCATGATGACGGTGCTCCACGACTGTATTATCAAACATGAGGAAAACAGCTCTACCGTCAAAAAAGATGATGAAGTCGAACGTGCTTCGAAAGATCTCACAGCCAAGCCTAGCCTTTCAGTTAAAGAATTTAAGGACCAGAATTGTTCTACGGTTGTGGTACCCTCATGTGAGGAAGAGATCTTTCCAGCTGCCAAGATTAACTTTATAGAGCCTTGCGAGGCGAACGAGAGCAAAGCTAACGCTGTGATTCCCTTTGTCGATAAATTAGGGGTCGAAGAAGCTGTAAAAACAAAAGAACGTGAGGAGAAGATGAATGTTGAAGGCGTAACAGAGACAAACGTCAGTGATACAAGTAATTCTAGTGGTTCAACACCTAAGAAAGAAGACGTAATCGATACATGTGAATCACTAAGTCAGCACCAAACACAAGATGAGTTGGAGGAGAGCTTAGGTTCACTTGGAGCTATCATACTGGACAGGTTAAGCGATCGGCAGCAAAATGCACCTACGACTCGAAAAGCTCAACAGAGCCCTTCTGATGACGAGGTACGAAATATTTGCAGGGATCTGGTTAAGCATCTGGTTAATAACGTATTTGAAGCATCAAACCTATCGAGTCAAGTAAGCACAGAGAAAGACACTGGGTCGAGCCTAGATGGTTCAACGCAAAGTCTACACTGCAGCTTACCACTAGAGAAAGTCGCATCAGTACTTCCAAATTGTCAGAACCTAAACTCTCCCGCTCCTCTTCTTCCTCTTCCATGCCCACAAATTATATCCCCCGTAGTCGTATTGCCCCTTCAATCAACAAGTCTTTCGAAGCCAACGTCTTCCTCAACACCCGTCGTCGAACCAAGTCTCGCAAAGAGTTCACGCGTGGTGCGACATTTGTGTCTCTACTGCGATCGCAAATTTGCCTCGGTTATACTGCACCAACGCCACACGGAACGTATTCACCAAGGGAGTACAGGTCGACGCAGTTCCGAGCGCAACCCACGTAAGCCTATCCAACAGAGTTGCCAGTACTGTATTGATCGGAGTCCGGAAAACTTGTCCAGTCTGTTCCAGCACATGATCAGTAGCCACAGTGATAAGTACTATGGGTGTCTACAGTGTTTGACTAGGTTTCAAACAAAAGACGCCCTGACTTCTCACATTCACGAGATCCACAGTAATGTAGTGGTTCAGATGGAGAAACTAAAAGAGCCGATCCACGTCAATCTCAAAAAGATCCAGTCGCACGAGACGGCTGTCAAAGAGGAGCCTGATAATAGCAATGTTAAACCCAAGCCGAGAGAGTGTGAGTTTGACAATCCAGAATTCTACCGCAAGGTGAGCAACAATATACAGGAAAACCTCTTGAATCACCTTGACGGCAAGATCGAGGATACAAAAAATGGCTCTCCAGTTGTAACCACGTCGTCAAAATTATCATCAACGGTGGAAATACCAAGCAATCCTGTCACACCCCCCGAAAACAACGGAGCAAGAACACCACAGTACCAATTGCTCGTCGATATCTCCCTATCGGCTGTAACACCGGTATACCACAAGATTCGCTTATCTAAAGGTCCAGAAGACTCAAGCGAGCTAGCGGACAAACCAGGAAAGTCATGTAGTAATCGTATACATCCACGCAGGCTTTCTTTCGAAAAGTACACCTTTCCCCGCAAATACGATAACAAAGAAGAGTTGAATGGCTCAATACGTGATTTGAGCAAGTTTGATTTATCAACGCAGTTGACTTTACGTAGAAAGCAAAAACTGATAAAGCAGCAGAAAAGCCTATATAATCAAACAGGTGATGTAACAACGTTGTCCGATAAAGATGTTGTTCAAGAAAGGACCACAAACACTGAGAAGAAAAGTGATACTGGTAATGAAGTGGTTGTGAGTGCTAGTGACGCTAAAATTGACGACAAAAGTGCTCCGAATGATGAAGTTGTAAAGTGCGAAGAAAGTGCTAAAAACAAAGATTATGATTCATCATGTGAAAACAAATCGACAGTGTTTACCAGTGAGTTTGCGAGTTTCATGAGGCTGAAAAAGTGCAGTGACGATAACAGTAAAAAAAATAAAGAAGTAACCAATGCCGAGCTCACGGGGGAGTGGTCCCGTCCCCGAGTGTACGTATGCGGCGCCTGCGCTGAAAGATATGTGAGTATTTTCATTTGTGCAAATTTACTTCTTTCATTCATCTTTTTTGCTAAACTCATACTTGCCCATCCCAATAAGTTTCTCCTAATTTGTATTCACGCAGTTATTTGATTTTGTATAAAGATTAACACACAACAATTTTATCATAACGAAGTTGCCTTTAGAATATTTCCTTAAAAATTTTAATGAAACAATGATATTAAATATAAGTTTAGTTTGGAAAAGTATTTATTACTTCTTAAAATTTTTTTTTGATAATTTTTTTAACGTTTCTTTCACTTAGTTTACGCTGTTTATATTTTTGCACTTTTTGACTACTATTTTTTTCTATTGTTATCTCAGAAAAGTTATGTTAATTAAAATCGTTGAGCACACATAATTAACTAAAGATTTAAATATGATTCAATCAGATTCAACTTTCATATCTAAGTAATCCCGAGTAACTTCATGATTACTGTTTTGCTACTATTTTACTGTTTTTTTTTTTTTTTTTTTTTTTTTTTTTNTTTTTCATTAGATAAGTTGGTTGTCTCTTACTTAACTTTCAATTTTGACCTGAAAGACTTTTCTTACTTTTATCACTTAATCTTTTAAGCATCTAAATTTTTTTAGTACACTAATTCCACTCATTTTTTTATTCTATTAATAACTGTTTTGGTCTTTTTTTGCTTATCTGTGATCGATTCCACTATGTGATTTCTCCTAAATAAATCTTACTATGGTATAAACGATTTTTTATCTCTCCTTCTCTCTCTCTCTTTTTCTTTTTTCAGTTGCTTTTTTTCTGTGTACATTTATTCTTACACACTTTTGTCAATCCTCAAGTTTTTTTTTCTTTTTGTTAATATTTTTTATAAACTCATTTTACAAGTCATTTTTAAACGAGACAAAACTGTTAGCAACATTACTGTGTAACCTGTTCGTCATGCATTTTATTCAAATTTCCTTTTTAAAAAGTATATACATTATATTTATTCAATCAACAGCAAAATAAAACTATTTTTTATTCTTATCTACTAACACGAGTACTTTAGGTACAGGAAAAGCATCTCGATAATACTTTGGGGATAAAATTTATTTCGAAGTGACCTTAGCTGTTACTTTTAATCAAATAGTCTCTGGTTCAACATAGGTATCACTAATATTTTTTGAAAATTTTTTAAAATTGCGTGTATATTTTTTTGAATATTGCATTTCCATTATTACATTGCGTGGATTACATACATATACTAAAACTTACTGTCAACTCACAATAGTTTCATTGCAACTTAATTTTTCTACTGCCTTTAACTAAAAAACTACCAGTTTGTCACTTGTCCGTTATAGGACAAAAAATGTTTTAAATTAATCCATTTTTTCAAATACCAGGTGGTAGAAAGTTCAATCAACTTTTTTTACATAACAAATCTAATACCATAAAATTTAACGCCTTACCGTTTCAAAGATACAAACAAGAATCATAACAAATTCAAATACATTAAATGTACTTTAAGTGCTTGTGTTCTAGTCACCAAATATTAAAATGCCTTACAAACATAAAGCAAATAAAAGCTAAAATTAATCTCTAGAATTAAAAAATTTAGTTAGTAATTTAAATGTGATTGGATATAAGAGAGTTTTCATCAAAAATCTTACGTGTGATTGATTTAGAAGCTTAACTTTAATCCCTCTATTACTTCTATCAAAACATTTGTGATGTTAAGACTCTTTTTATTTTTGGGACACATGTAAGATTCCATTTAATTATATGCTAAAATTTGTTTTAAATAAATACTTTAGATGTTTACAAGACGTTGGTTATTATATTTTGTTGTACCAAACTTCAGAATAACTAAGTGTCAGAGTATACATTATGTAACTATTTTCATATTTTAGACTGAGACAAACGTTCTAAATTTTTGTTACAATCCGTAACTTGAAAGCCTAGCACATGTCCGTGAGCCACAGTCTAAAAAGTCATCAATGAAATCTTGATTTTTTTATCCGGTTTATCAAAATACGGTCAATAACGGTCATTATTAACGGTCATTATTAACTAACCTATAATAAACGTGATCTCCATAAAATTTATTGAATTAACTGTTCGTATCTTGAACTAAAGTATATTGGATCAAACGTAATATGTATAACTGAGCCCTAAAAAATTCCTAATTCTAGATTTACACTGATTGGTAGACCATTTCATTTCAGCATTGGTAAATCACGCTTATGGAACATTCAAAACACTCAAAAGTATTCAGCACATGTATTTTTATTATATATCATGGTACAAAAATAATAAATCAAAACGTTTCATTTGAGATAGTTTCTTTGGCATGTAACTTTTAATTAAGAATGTTGCAAAACTGAAATTTATACTCCATGATAGTAGGAACATAACTGAATTTTTCACATTTTAGTTACCATTTAATTATCTTTCAATAAAAATAAAAATTAAGTAATTAACATAAGCTTTAACAAAATACAGTGAGGGTTCAACCTATCTAAGTAAATATCAGCCACTTAAATAGAGATATAGTAAAACACATTTTACATTTTGTATAAAACCAAGATCCAGTTACAATAAAAAAACTCACTACTAAAAGTTTGTGCGAATTATAAAGAAATTAAGCTCTTAATCATTAAAATTCAATATCTGTAATTACAGTGAAAATACCTTATTCGCGGAGAACATGTTCCATAAATATACTATAAATGCAGAAACCATAAATAGCAAAAGGTAATTTATATGGGTTGACAGGGAAATAGTTCACAAGGTAAAATCGAATAAAAGACATGCACAAGCCATTTCATTAGACATCCTTTAACAACATTAATAATTACCCCCAGGTTTCGAAAATATACGAGACAAAGTACTCAATCTTTGAATTGATAGGGTTCACTAAGATTTTTAAAACTAAGACCACCTTGCAGTATTTATTGAAGCGTTCTCAATTAAAAAAAAATTGGAACGAAGTATGTGTTTCCTGATGCAGTTTTTCCAACAATTTTAATGCCATGCATTAATTATCACTCCTAGAATTTATTGAAACATCCTCTCACCTCTTGAAATCCTTTATCTGTAGATTCATCTCTAGCTACTTTAACACGTGTAAAAAGATACTTTGCCCTTTCAGATTATTGAATTATTTAGAAGCACTGCCATATAGTTAAGATCATCAATCTATGATAGTAAATATTTATGTTGACAATAAAGTTGGAACAAGAAAGTTCGTTATTTTGTCTTATTTTCAAATAGATCTTTGAGTTAATTAGCTGGTATTGACTGATTTGATATGACTAAGCCATTTTCCAATGTGTACACGGTCAAGTATTTTTATTTTTTAATCTACAAATTTTTTCTACGTATTCTCCACTGATGGCAACTTCACAATGTTACAAAAAATTTTGCAATGATCGTAAAGTTAAAATAAATATTTATTTTGGGCATAGTTGTAAGGTAGTTTTACTTCTTCCAAAAAAGTACTAACTTTTTTTTTCAAATCCAGGAAACAATGAAGGAGCTGGAGGAGCACAAGTCCATGGCCCATCCAAACGTCTGGTGTCAGCACTTTGAGTTCTCAGGGGACCAACGCGAGCTCTACAAGCACCTGGTCTTTCTGCCTGGCTCGCAGCGTGCAGCTAGTCCACCCACCTTGAGCGTCAGGACTCGCCAGCAAACGATATCCGAACGGGCGTGCACCAAGTGCTCAAAAATTTGTGCCAGTATGTCTGAGTTGCACAGGCATATGCTTGAATGTGGCGGTGATCAGGCTTGGCTCTTGGGTTTCTTTGGAAATGGAAAAAAGAAGTGCAAGTGGAGGCCGTTTGGCAGCAGGAGTCGGCGTAGGAGGCAGCGGGGTATGAAAAGGAATATACAGAACTCACAAACTCCAAGAAACAATGTAAACAGGGAGAGACAAACGCCCAATGGACCTCGTGTTAGACCTAGTGATCGTAAGTTAATATTAAATGTTTCCCTGACGCTCATAAAAAAATAATTGACAAATTAGCTCAGTAACACGTGAATATCTTCTTCAATGTTTCGTATAAGTCCCCTGACTAAATCCATGTTACGCCATCTAGTGTTGAAAATTGACTGAAAGCTCGTACATTCTTAATATTTTATCTAACAGAAAATTTACAGAAATTAACAATAACAGATGCCTTAGAGCTTTCTTAAGGTCAATCCATCATTAACATCTTGCCATTGAACTAAGTGTTCAAATGCCGCAAAAAATCATAGTTACACCATACATTCAAACCATAACCTAATACTCACATCGAATTCCGATTAATAAACTGACTGATTGTTATTTGCTATGAGCAAGTTAAATACTACCCCTATTTTTCTAGACTTTCCATATTAAATCTTATGGAAGAAAATTAGTTAAAGCGACCGTCACTAGCAGATTCGCCAGAAATTTCCATAAAACTGCTTATGAAAGTGACAAGTCGTGCCAGCCCTCCCCTTTGTGGAGGAGACGGCTGGCGCCATAGGTTCTCCGACTCGCACACACAGAATAAGTTCTTGACGAGGCCTAAAAAAGCTTTACTTTTCTTCAATCTTCGGTGTTGTCTACGATTCTGAAACCCTCTATTTAGTTTCAAACCATAAAAAATTGTAAAATTTTTTTTATTAATTAATCATATAAATTTTAGGACGGGCATACGTATTTTCTTATTTATGATTGAACCGTTAATTTCTCTGTACGTTATTATGTTATAAATGAATAGAAACTCTTTGAAAATATTTTTTTTTATAACCAATGCGTAATTTTTTTTTGTGATTTGTAATAGCTATTAATAATTGTTAATAATAGATAATTTTTATTGTTTTTATGATAAATCTAGACATTAAAAACTGTTTTTATTGATTTTTTTTATTTTCTACTAATTTTTAAGAGTAATTATTACCAACTTATCAAATAAAATTATTTCCGCTTAGTTAAGAATTTCTAACGTACTTACATTGATTAAACATCATATATTAATATGAAAACTATTTTTTAAGGGGAAAGCATCCAAAAAATGTTGGCCAATCTACCAGCCAAGAGAGCATCTCGAAAAGTTCTCCAAGAAAACGCAATGCTTCGATCCCAAGGTCGACTTCGAAGTGTAAGTTTAATACATTATGTTTGTACGTGCATTTATTCCATTTAAACCGTCCTCATCATCCAATAACCTATTCCTTACATTGACACAGTCATATTCATTTTAATGTTATATTTACCTTTAAAAAGAAAAACTAAGAATATTGCTTAAAACTACAGTTAACCACGAGGTTAACTATAACTGTTCTACAGCAGTACTATTTTAATGAAAAAACAAATACAAATTACAACTCATGATATAATTATAGGGTGTACTACTATACAATTAATTTCACAAAACTATTTCAATGTAACACATCACTTGCACACTTGGATATCAATAACTATAAAAAGTCAAATTTTGGAACGGCATCATCATTTGTATACTGAAACAAAAAAAATTCGTGAGAGATGATTGTTCCCATTAGTTTGGATTCGCTAAAATAATTTTCAACTTGCGAAGCTCTACCATAACGTGCCACTGCTATGCAATCTAATGACTTATTGTGCGGTTTAATTAATATTTTAATGGAGTGCCAGCTGCGTTACAATACATCCGCGAGTACTGTATACCTACTGCCGAGTGTAGCAGTTCGGAAAATTAGGTTATATGCCTTTAATGAATCCGTCACAGCAATTGGGAGCCGATGAAGCCGCTCGTGCATATAATGTTCTGTATCCTGACGTTCGTTAACATGCATTTACAAAGTTTTTAATTTTAATTTTTTTAATAACTTATTTTAAGTATTCATTGATCATTTTCTGATAGGCAAAATTACAATAAGACACATATAGATATACTTATCAGCCTTTACAATAAAGTTACACAGATTACGTGTTTTTGACTTAATAATCCGTAAGAATCCAGGTGCCGAAAACATTTGGTGATAAAGCCTATCATGAAAAACATTAATGTTTATTGTATTAAATCGTTTATGGTAGAAAATCCGTCGCCACTAACAAATAAAACTTTTCTTGAATTTGAAATATGTTATACATTAAATTTTTTTATGTTATCCATAATTTTTTAAAGTTAATTAACGTTAACTCATCTAGCTAACGGAAAAATTCCTACAAATGAGACATTTTTGATATTTGCCAAACAAATGTTTTTCTCTTAAAACTCCTATAACTTTAGATTTGTGGCACTGAATTCAACACAAATTTTGTTTATCAGTAGAGCTTGTCTCTAGCTTTCATCTAGACCAAATGAGCACTATTTAAAATGGTTTACTACTTTGTTGCCGTTAAAAGTTAGTTTAAGGAGGTTTGGGAGAAAAGTTTAAAATGGAGAAACGTGCCAAAAAAAAATGTACGTTATAATTGATCTTGTTAGGAGTGCACATGAATTTTCACCTTTCAGATTTTTCACCATGGGAGATATACGAAAAAAAAATTATGAAATATTGACGGTCTGTTATGAGAGATCAAGGTTAGGTTTGCCTTTTAACTGAAGTTAAGGTATATTCTAAATGTGTTGGAATAAAAAAAAAACGTTTTCATAGATAACTTGGTATAAAAGGAAGATGCTCGACAAAAAAATCAAGCCTTGCCAGGCATTTTTCAAAGATATAAGCAGTTACAGTCGTACAGTTTCAAGTTTGTAGAGTGCAAAAGGAGGTGCGCGGTAAAGGGGGCCCAGATGCGCGAGAAGGGGGGACTCCCCGTTCCTCGCCTCTCTGAATGATACTCCCAAACCTCCTTAATATTAAATGTGCATCTCGTGATGAAAAGGCCATTGAATTACATGCCAAGACATACGTCTCGTAATTTTACCCAACAGAACTGGGAAAAAAATTTGGTAAAGATCTGTTGCCTAAAAGTAATAAGAAAAAAAATTTGATTTTAGTTCAGAACTGACAGAATGAATCGGAACTAACATTTTGAGCTTTAAATTTAACATTTTGGCTTTTACAACTCGTAGACAAAACATAAGGACTTTTTCTTTTACAACATTTTTTTTAACTATCAGACTATATTAGAATATACAATTTACGTACCTGGTACAAGTACATCGAGTATAGTCACTTTAGTAATGGATGGAACTGAGCGACATTTTTGTGTCCATTCGAATAACCGAAAATCAAATACATGGCAATTTAAGATATCACAACTGCTAGTAACGCTAGTTAATTTAATTTTTTTTCATATTTATAGTTATGTAAAAAAAATTGTAAAAAAGAAAAAAAAACCCGTGGTAGGAGATAGTTGTTTTTATGTCTATTTTTCTATTTTTGCTACTGAAAGCGCAGTAAACGTTCAAAGATAACAAAAAAATTCACGAGGTAGGAAAAATGTTATCAACCGTTAAAAAGATATCAAAAATAATAATTAGACTTCGTCAAAAACATCTGATACAATTATAGTTTTAATAAAACAAATTAAGTTTCTAACTTCATCAATATTCTTTTTCAATAGAATTAAAAATACACCATAACACATACAGTAATTAATAGATAGATGTACTACCGACTCTTTTTTCCAACTAACATCTTTTTATTGTTAATTTTATTTCCGAGAAAAAAGCTTGGACTTAAAGTATTGTTATTTGTCTCACAGGGTCATTCTGGTGCGGTATCTGATAATCCAGCCTCACGTATGGTAAGGAGTAAGGCAGTACTGCGCAACAAGCTGCTAAAAAATGCCAAATCCTTCCAACGAAAGAAAAATCTGTGGGAGGAACGCCAGCAGGAGAAGGAAGGAGCTCACGCGTCCAGCGACCAGTCCAACCGTTCAAGTGCATCCAGGATCTCAAGTATTGAACCGAAAAGCCCGACGACAGCCTTGTCCGCAAGGAAAGGCGGCAGATTGCTGCGCAAAGTACGACTCCTTGACAAGCGTAGAAATGTTGGTGCACAGAGTCTAGAACAAGAATCGATAGAAATGAATCGAAGGATCAAACTAAGGAGCACCGTCACGTCATCGTCTGCGCTAAGCGACATTGAGCCAACAGATATCAGCTCTTTGGCTAGAAAGAGGCTTCTACCGCGTGCAAGCAAGCTTGAGCCACTAACTGAACACTTGCCAGGAGCTGTCAAAAAGAGAAAAGGTCGACGTATTATGAATACCCTCCTATCGGTGACATCAAGTGTCTCGTCCAGCGCGAGATTGAAAACTCGGCCACAATTGCGTAGCAGTGACACTAAGCTTGCCAATAATCGTCAGACAGCAATTACCAGAGCTCAGAGGATTGAAAGTCAGCCCTCGGTGAGACTGCTTACGCGGTCAAAGCTACGAGCAGCTGCAAAACACGCCTGGATGGAGCATACCAAAAGTTCCCGGAGAATCACTAGACTTACGTCTCAGGATGCTGAAAGAACAGTTGAGCTGCTCGAAACGATACAAGTGTCAGATAAATCGGTGACAATGTTTTCATCAGTGACTATGGAACCAGAACTTTCTAGCAACTCGAAAGAAGCTGGACCACTGATGTCAAAGCCAAAGTTGTTAAGAACGGCATCGAGAAATTCGACAACCAATCGACGCAGTCTCGATAAAATTCCAAGCGAGGAAAGGAGCTCAGAATCAACGAGAACGTCGTCAAGGAACTCATCAACCAGTCGGCGTAGCATCGACAGTAATTCGAGTGAAGAGAAATATCAAGAAAGCGAAAAAGCGTCACCAGTGAACGGTCCCGGCCGGAGACCAAAGAAAAATTCTAGTATCCCTGTGAGCAATAGCGATGAATTATCAACAACAAACCAAAAACATCAACAGACTGAACCAGCAGTTGAGATCAAAACTAGGAGTCAAAAGTTGTTATCGTTTTCAACTCCAGTTTTCACTACATCAGAGTCTAGAACTCGGCGTTCAACTACCTTCAGAGACGCTACATCTCATGAATTGCCAAAGAAAACCATTAAAACAGTTGATGAGCCTAGCGCACAATTCCTCGGTGGCAAAGAAAAGTCAGGCTTGAGCACCAGAAGTAATTCTAAAGCGAAAAAAGAGGTAGTCGTTGATATTACAGCTAAGAATGCAACCAAGGAAGTGGTCGAAAAAAAACCAGCCAGACGCACCATGAAAGACAAGACACCTGTAAATGAAAAAGTATCTGATGTAAATTTTACAACAGATGCTACCTCTGCTGCTGTTTCCTCTTCAAAGGAGAAAGAAAAAATTGGCGCAATAAGGAAATCACTAAGAATAAAGGAGTTCTCTGAAGAAGCAGCGAAAATATCACAAAATGAATCAGCTAAATCTGTTGAAGATTTAGAAGAAAAAGATATGGATAACATTTCTGTTAAGCCATGTGATACAGTTGAGGAAGAACATAGCCCAGAGAAATCAATCACGACCACTATTAAGAAAACAGGAATTGGTAAGCGCCGATGTCGAGTTAAGCAAGTCATTGAATCTTTAGTTGAAAATCCGGTGGTCAGTGAAGAGACTACCACGATCGAGAAAGTTCAAAGTGAAAAAATTCAGGAAACCGATATTTTCGGAAAAATATCTAATTTAAAAGAAGCAGTCGTTACAATTATGGAAATTAAACCAAATATTAAAACATCTTCTGTTGAACAGCAGGAAAACGATGACAGTAAAATTGTACAAAACTCAACTATCGAACAACTGCAACAGGAATCTTCTAACTCTAATATGGATAGTGGTAAAGAAAATTCAGCTGAAGCAGTGGTCACTATTTCCAAATCAAAAATTGTACGTCCAAAAAAGACACGAGGACTTCGAAATAATGGCAAAACACCATCTAACAAAAGGTCACTCAGTAACGTAATTGGCATTCTTACTGAGGCTATTAATGTTTCCGTCATCGAGCCGCAAGAGGCCACAACAGTGCTTACAGCTCAGACTAGTCTTGATAACAAAGGCAACAGTAGTGAAGACTTTACTTGTCAAATCAGCAATGAACTAAGTGCGATAGAAAATACTACTTCTCATTCTGAAGGTGTTAGTGATCCTTGTGTAAATATTAGTGAAAGTGCTAACGTTGATAGTATTCTTATTGAGGAACAGAAACATAGTGAGAACATCGAAATTACGTCAAAAGTAACAAAATCCGAAGGAGAAGAAACGAATAAAAATATTGAAAAAACGAATATGAAGCCTGAAAAAAGTGAATCCAATGAAGAAAAAAGTGTAAAAGTTACTGAACAGAAGCTAGAAAAATCAGCACCTGTAGTGGAGAAAAAAACTGAGATACAAGTGCAACCAAATTCCATTTTTCAAGACTCTGCAAACGATATTATTCTTGATCTGTCAAGAAGGAAGCCAAAGGGTAAAGGCTCATTTTTGGAAAAAATCGTTTCAAAGATTGCCAAACAAAAAGATGTTTCGTTAAATAGTGATGGAATTCGTCACGTCTCCTCTTTGGGTCAAAAGTGCATGGAAAGCTCAAAGATACCTGAGGAAAGAGATTTGATCAACTTGTCATGTAAAGAATCAAGTGTTGAGTTAAATGGAGCTACATCAGTGAGTGAAAGCATAAGTGCGAAATTAGAAGATGCCGTAACATTACATAATAATGTTTCAAATACACAGTTGAACTATAAGACCATGGCGGAAAATGTGAATATTACACCGGATAATGAGTTAAATGAGGCTATAATGGTGAACCGTGTAAATATTATAAAAAGTAATACTAGAGTCGAAAAAGATGAGGAAAAAAATGTTGTTGATACTTTATCAGTGAAAACTTTATCAACTACAGAAGAAACGCTTACTAGTTTTGAGAATAGTGTAAAAATAAATAATGTAACTAAGTGTAGAGATATCGATGAGAGCTGCCATAGTGTTGTAAATAGTGCAATTGAATCCGTGGATGGCAAAAACTCCGTAAATGTTAATTTGAAAGATAACGTGATTTCTATAGAAAATAGCGAAAAAAATATTAAACACTCTTCTGAAGTTAATACAACGGAAAAAAATCAAAAGAACTCTATTGATGAAAATGTAAATGAAGATAAGGAAGAAAGCTGTCTTGTAGATGTTATGAGATTACTGGACGAAACAAAATCAGTAAAGAAGATAGACGACATAGATGACGAGTTTTTAAAATCAGATAAGAGAGATCTTCCACATGATGAGCCAGCAGTTGCTGCGGTCGATGATTCTCCTTTGGTGGATAAGCATCCGTCGAGGAAATCAGGGCGTAAAGGCATTCAAAAAAGAAATAAACATAAGGTTTTAGAGTTAAAAGATACGAGTAATTCTATTGAGACATCTACCAAGTACCATACAATTGATACAAACGTACTGGAACAAGTGAATGATGACGTGGCGTTCGACTTAAAAATCGATAGTATAAAAACTACTGATAACGATAAAAGTGCAATTAATTTAGGACCAATTGCAAATGTAACACATAAAAATGAGATTTCTGATTCTGTAGAAATTGTTCAAGAAACAAATGAAACTCCAAAAGTGGAAGTAAATTCTAATGAAGAACTATCCATAAATCGAGATAAAAATGATAGCTGTAAGTTTATTGTAGAAAACGTAGAAATTTTAGATGGTATTACATCAAAATCTGTTATAAAGCAAAAGAAACGAGGTCGTAAGAAGAATTTCAAAACTGTAAAAGAACTTGAATTTCAAAAAGATCAATTTTTAACCGAAAATCCGTCTAAAACAATAGAATCGACTGATAACTTGAATAGTGAGTCAAGTGAAGCAAACCCGGTTGTAGTGAGAGATATGTTTAAAATTCCCGAAACTACTGAAGTTACCAAATTTTCCAAGAAACGTACTTCTAAAAGAAAGTCCTTCGTAAGTGATTCTAGTGACGCGGAACAATATGAAAAAACGGAGGTTGATATAGTGCAAAAACAAAGTAAAGACTTCGATGTTGATAATAATGTTGAACAGTTTACATCTTTATCGGAGACTGAAGAAAAATCAACTGCGAAACAAACCTTTAAGCGAAATACTCGTAATAGTCGAAGCATAGAAGTCAAAGAAACATTTTCAAGATTCAAAGAATCTGATGACTCCGATGCATCATCTACGAGTGAAGGAGAGTTTTTGCAGAAAAGACGCTCTCAAAGGAAACATGTCACGTTTGAATCTAGCAGCAACAATCATAAGAGTAATATTGATGAATCATTAGTTGATGAGAATCCAGAGAAGAGACGAAGTTGGAGTAGAAAAGCAAAGAAAAATATATGTCTTTCTGAAACTAGTGATTTTTTCACTGATAGTGAAATATCCAGTACTGAACTAGAAAATAAGCCTGATGAAAATTTATCAGCTAAGGAAACAATCACCAAAAAAATTAATAACAGTATGACTGAGGTTTGTGAAAAACATGTGCTTACAGAGCCTCATAAAGAAGAACCAATAACAAAAGAGCTAGAATCTCAAGCTGAAGTTGCACAAATTGATGACAAAAAAAACGAAACCCAACTGTTGAGACCTACTGAAGAACAAATAACTGCTAAAGACAACGATACCAATCAATCCATAGATAGTCAAGGAACAATCAATCAGTCAGTTCATTCACCTGACTTGCAGATAGGCTCCTTTCAAAAGAATCTTGACGTCACCAAACACCAACTTGTAGTAGCTGAAGGAATCTCTAGCTCGGAAGTTGATAACACCGCAAGGCTTGATTTGTCAACGCTTAAGAAACGTACTGCTGGCAATTTTTCAGTTGTAACCAAATCCGGCAAAATATTAATCATTGAAAAAAAGAAAAAACTAACAAAAGAAGCCGCCAAGTTTTTTTGTGATGTTTGTGCAACAAGTTTTACACGAAAGAGTAGCTTGAAAAAACATAACTTATCGCAGTCGCATACGTTACAAATCACTATGAACAATGGGAAGAACATTGTAAAAGATACTTCGAAAAATGATAATCCTGAAAATCTTGCCGTAGATGGTACTAAAATTAACTTGGAAAAAGAAAAAGAAGAAATAGAGCAAACCGAAAAAAGTATAGAAGTAAAGGAAAGTAACAATGAAATCGAAGTGGATAAGAATTTTGTAATTGAAAAAACCGAAGATATGTTGGTTTCAGAACAGAACGAAAAATGTATACCGGAACCAATTTCTGAACCTATTTCTCCATTGAGTTCAGAATCTCTTTTACAATCAGTTGAGATTGTCAATGATAAAATGACTACTCCCGTCCAAGAAATTCTTAACACACATACTCCAACGCTTCCTGAACTTCCGATGTTTGCTCTCAAATCTCCAGAACAGCTGGAAGACGAAATGCTTGATGAAGAGATATGCAAAATTACCGAGAATATGAGTCATGATGAATATGTTCTAACAGATCATGTAAGCCCAATCACTCCCGAAGCTACATCGACACCAGTTGAAGAGATAGATGTTTCGTTTAACAACGTTAAATCTGTCCCAAAAGTTTCAAAAAAAAAGAAGGAAAATAAAAATAAAAAGAAGAATTTAGCTGATGAGCATTTTAGTCTGGATACTCTTGGATCAAAAGTGCCACAAGAAAATCTTTCAGAATCTTTAAATATTAATTCAAATGCCGTTGAAAATCTTATCAAAAGAAAAAGTGTAGATTGTACAAACATTAATGAACCGACAATTGAGCAAAAAAATCAAATTGGTAAAACTGTTGATGAACAATTAAAAGATAATCAGAATAACCCTAATTTAAGTTCTGCTGTCAAAAGTGTGAATCATGAAGAAGATGTTATGGTTAAAACTAATTTAACACTTTACACAGACGATAGCAGACGAATAACTCGCAATCGAAGTCAAAATATTGATCCTCCCATGTTTGAAAATACTCGACCAAAAAGAAATAAAGCTCGACCCAGCTATAAAGAAGAGGAAAACTTAGATTTTGATGAAGAGTTACTTGAAAATAGAGTTGAAGGGATAAATAAAGAATCGAAAAAAGTTGAAAACAACACGAGTGTCACTTGCACTGATGAACCTCTATCTAGAAATAATACTAAAAAATCAAGGAAAGAATTAAAATTAAAGACCGAAAAAAGTCATACAGCAATGATGAATAACAGTAAAGTCTCTAATTTCGAAAAATCAATTTCTATGGAAACCGCCACTACTGAACTTAATGAACAACCAAAAGTACCAGAGAAGAAACACGATAAAGAAAATTCTGTGTTTATCAATTCAAAAGAAGAAAATAACGAAAATGAAGAAAAAGGATCGGAATTGATTATTGAAAGAAGAATTATTGATCTAAATCTCGAACAAACAGACCGAAAAAAAAATTATAACATTACTACTGATGATTTAGAAACTGAAATACTACCTAAGAAAAAGAGAAGCAGAAAATTGAAACAACCAACAATTGACGTGGATAATCCATTCTCTGATGAAAATACAGCAATCAAAAACGCGAGTCCTAGTGAAAAAAGTTTGCTAGAAAAAGAAATAGAAGAAGATAATGAGTTGTTTACAAATAAAAAATTACACAAGCACAGAAAGAGTCAAAACAAAAAATCAAAGAAAAGTTTTGGAGAAACTGATTCAATTCTTAAAATATCAAAAGAAACAATCGAATTAAATGTAACAGAAGAAACATCATCTAAAATCGAAAATTCATCAGTGAATTCTGATGTGAACAAACAGTTGAAACCAAGCGTGCTTCTTGAGTCGTCGATAGTGAAAATAAAAAGTACCATTACAGATAACACTGATATACCGACCACAACTATGCCTATCAAAATAATAAAAGTCCCAGTTGAATCAGAAAAAGTGAATTCCGATTTTCAGCGTATTATATTTCCTAGTCTGAGTAATGAAAACTTTAAAACATTTGATGACTCGAAAAACGAACTTCCATCATCTATGCTTGGAGGTTTCGACAGCGATGAAAACTCTTTAGATACGAATATGTCTGTTGATATTCAAAAGTTGCTTGACGACCCAGAAATGACGATTGAGATAGCCAAGCAGACTGATGAAGCAAGTCAGATGACGAAAAATTTAGCCAATGTTGAACTCAATGACACTGTAAATACTAAAAAGCCGCTTATCCAAGAATCACTTACGCCAGTCTTAACGGCATGCAGTACCGAAGGAATAATTGTTGATACTAATGAAAAATCTGAAGAAAATTATGACGATGTACAGACAGTTTTAGTACCTATAGAGTCAGTAGAGAAATGCAAAATAACTCCTAGAAAGGTAACTGTTACACCTAAGCATCTGGGGAAAAAATCTAAAGAAAAAATTATAACTGAGACCTCAAATATTAGTGAAAGTAGCGAGATTGGGGAGGATAATGAAGATGAAAAACTAAAAAAAAATAAAAATAAAATCGTGAAATGTGTCTTTGGCCGTGTCTTTGGTGGCGAGAAAGTAAAGGAAGTTCTTGATGACTGGCAATCGCGTTCTGGACACAATTCATCCGACAGTGAGAGTAACAAACCTACTCGAAAGTCGAAATTAAAGGCAAGAAAGAATGTGCGAGCTGTAAGTAATGATAATGTTAAAAAATTAATGGAGGTGACCAGCCATAGTAGACAGAGTAAGAAAAGAGCCGGAGAGCTCATATCGAAATCATTTTGTGAAGACTTGCCTTCAACTGTAAACAATGTCATTGAAAATCAAAAACTTAAAAATGAAGATCATGAGATATCCCTGATTATTGATGAAGAGACGTTCGAGAACGAGGAATGTAACAACCATGGCAGTACGCTGAAGGAAGTATCCACAGACGTAAGGCAACCAAAATTCAAAAAAGGAAAAAAGAAGAAGGATGAGTCTTTTTCAGATAATGTTAGACGATCCAAAGTTCAGAGCAACGACGAAGAGGACGAGGTTGAAGAGTCAAAAGATTCAGAGGATTCTCAGTTGAAGATCGAGCAGGAAAAAGTATCTTTTGAAATCGATAATAGCAGCAATAAAAGCTGCGATAAAGTCAGCAGCATAATTCAATCAACTAATTTGCATGATTCAACTGACGACGAAAGTCTCCACTCTCCAAGTGATGACGATAACACACATCGTCATGTAAAAAAGATACGCAAAAGTCGCAAGAAAAGAAAGTCCAAATCATGTTCAGTAAAGTCTCCACAAAGTCTATCCACCCGCCGTGAACAAATGATCAATGGACCAGTAGAAATGGTAACAATCGGTCCTACGGATGCACTGGAAGACAATGCCCTTGATTATAATTTGGAAATAACTGGTACATTGTCGGAAAAACCTACTGTACAACAAACTAAAGTATTAAACTTTGATGAGGAGCTATTTGTTGAGTGCTGTTCACGACTCAAGGCAAGTGGAAAGGAGCTCAGAGGTGCAAAGAAAATCAAGCTTGATCACTCAGCTGAAGATTATGTGGCTGCTACCGGATCTTATCATCAACACCGGCATAAGAAAGATGAACAGATTACTCCTTACAGAGAAAGTAAGGACAGGTGGAAAGCTGTAGAGAGTCAGAATAGCTTGGGAAGTCTACTTGAGTCTGTTAATCAGGTAAAAAGTAAACTCAAACATTTTACCATTACTACATGTTATTTTCAAATTATCTATCATTTTATGGAAAGCATAGCGGTTTGTATCAAAGAATTTTTATGAAACGTTTTCCTTAACGAAAATAAACTAGAAGCTTAAAATAGTTTGACAGGTACTCTCTCGTCAACTGAGATATAAAATTAATTTCAACAAAATGCATCGAAAAATCAACAGTTACCTAAAATATTATACAAATCGTGATTTTTTTTAAATACAATATCTTAGTAAATTGTCAATAAACGAAAAATGAGTAGTAATCATACTTTACAAAATTCAACACTGAAAATTATCATCAAATTTTATAAGCATATTTTTAGTATCTTACGCTATTTTTCTACCAAATTTGATTGCAATTAAACAAACTTTAGATTCCTGTAAATCCTTCTTTAAATTTATGAATATCTGCTATGCTTTATTAATAAAATGTTCATTGTACAATATTAGAATTAAAAATAATCTTTTAAAATCTTTACTTCGAATTGACTAATGATACAATTATATCATGCAGCTACTTGGTGAAGAATACAACAGCAACGAGCGTGAGTTCACCAGTTCAACGACAAAGCGAAGTCGGAATCACCATAACCACCATCACCATCATCACCACCACCATAATCACAACAACCACCACCACGGTCATCACCATCATCACCACAACCGTCATCACAGTAATATGAGTGGGCGCTCGAGTCCAGAGGACATTGCGTTACAATCTCGGTCACCCGAATATCTTGAGACGAGCTACGATGACAGCTTAGACGTGGCCTTTGAGCACAACAATAAACTCCGTGACAAGATCCAACGTCGCATGCAAGAAAGTGAGAGCCTTATCGCCACGTCTTTTGGACAGCACAAGTCCCACGGTGGTAGCCCGGCTGCTGCCGCAGAAGCCGGCGCAGCTTATGACGATGGTTATGGTTTAGATGCTGGCAAGGCTAAGATTGATAACGGCTTTGGTGGGATTGTTGATAAAGCTTTGTCTAATCTCGAGAAACACGATCATAAGTAAGTTTTTTTTTTTTTTTAAGCTATTCAATTCTTTTACCTCCAATATAGCAGCTGTTTTTTACGGTTAGATCACACACTTTTACTCATTTATTTACTTACCAACTCCCTTCTTATTGAATTTAGTATATTCTCTTACTCATTCACTCACAAAATCAGTTATTTATCGTCACTTCAAAAGAATAAGCTGCCCATTCAGAAATACTCAAAGAAAAGTACCAATTTGGTCATTAGAATATAATGTTCACTGACGAAAAACTTTCAGTGTGAAAGTTGTTCCGCACGATCTTGAGAATGACCATACAAAGTTTCAGGTCACTGTTGCATTGCATGAATTTAATGAGTGAATTTGAAATTTGAAACTTTGCATGGTCACTTTCGAGACGGTGTAGAACTGTTTCGCTGTAAGTTTTCAGATAATAACGTTAAACTATGCTATTACTTCATCTGAAAGTTGCATTTACCTTTCTTAGAGTGTACCTATTTTCGGATCAGTACTTTATTCGTTCCAAGCGAAGTTATATGTACTTCTTACACGTGTATTGTGCTCTTTAAATTCAAGTAAAAAAAAATTTTAAATAAATAGTGAACCTTAATTGAGTGTCACAAATAATAAACAGATTTTTTCAATAGTAAAGATCCAGTGTAGTATAACAATTTTCATGTACAGTACATGAAAATATATCTAGTTTTTTTAATACACATCCAGTCTACGTAAATACTTCTTAAAAATACTAACTGAAATAGTAAATTTGAACACAAAAATTTGTAAATAAAATGTGTAACTCGGATATAACTTCAAGTTATATTCAACTTGACGTTTTCAATTTCGTAATATTTTTTTTCGTTGCAGTGGTTCCACGCCGATGAAGCTTCTAGCCGAACTTGCGTGTGCGCGAGCTCCGACTTCTACGACTCCAACGGTACATGAAAAATCATCTGAAATTCCTCCGACGTACCAAAACGTGATTCCTCCCGTTAGTGACCACAAACACCACACAAGTCACGAGTTTCACCAAGATGAAAAAAGTGCTTCTATTAAAAAGATAAAAAACCCAATCAAAGAACTTTTTGAGCGCAAAAAGGATATCTACGACAAGAGACACCTCGAAAAAATTAAAAGCTCATCAAAATCTTCTGACAAGTTGAAGAAACAAAAGAAATCTAAGAGCGGGCAGCACAATTTGCCTCTGATTCGTACAAAACAGTATCGAGGAGGTATGGTCGTGCGCAAAAGGCGTCGCGACGAAGGTAAGAAGAAGAACACTATTGGTCTCATCGACAGCAAGACAAAGGACGTGTACGATTTCGACGACGAGGAAGAGAGTATGGGCGAGCCCGCCTTCAACAACGTACTCTCGTACAGAGCAAAGACGGACGCGCCTGTGAAAGAATTCAGCATGTCAGCGTTACTTTCCAAGGCCATCGGCGATACTTTGACGAACGGTAAATCGATCACTGCTATGGGCGAGAACTTGGAGAGTATGATTGACAGGAAGTTCAAAGACATTGAGAACCACGAGCCTAAGAGCAAGCTCGCCAGCGTCGAAGAAAAGCAGGAAAATATCATAGGTATGTTGCATCTTTCAAATAAGGATTTACCTTTTACAAGCATACATTTTGGGATCACATTATTTTTCTTCTGACTCTGAACTGGTTAATTTTAATATCAATTGCTATTTTACAGGGCCAATGGATGAGTTTGTGGAAAGACGGCAAAAGTCATCGAAATCTACATCAGGCGAGCACGTCGCTGCCAAAAATTCGAGCAAATCAAAGAAAAAAAGTGTAAAGAATGTGAAAAAAAAGTCACGCAACGCCTGGTACGAGGACGACAGTTCAGACGAATTTGTGACGAAGCTGAAAACCGATGAACTTACCGGTGTTGGGATCAACAAGAGCCAGAGGACTTGCTCCAAAGGCAAACAAAACCTGTTTGCCGAAATGTCATCGACTTCGTCCGACAGTGAATTCGAACGTCATCCCGAGGATGAAAACGCAGACGAAGACTCGCAACGAGATCTCATTACAGAAATTTCGAAAGATAAGTGCGCTGATCTAGAAGGTATGTTGTTTCAAATGAAATTATATACTTCACAGAGTATATTTAAACTTAATGGTTCAATTGAATAATTTTTTCAGCTAAGGAACAAACAAATGATGACGAGACCATCATCAACAACGAACCTGAAAACAACGTAAGCCAAAAGAACTGGGACATGCGGGACGATAACGTCAAAGGGGCAAAAAGCGTATCACCCTATCTGGATAACAACAAGAAATCCGAGTCCGAGCTCTCCGATCATCCTCTAGTAATTGATGAAGGTCAAAAGGACCCAGTAGATTTGGAGCAGCGCACAAACAGCGACGACGAGACTGAACAGCGCACCCTCGACCTCGATGATCTGTATCGGGAGGACAGTTCCATCGTTGATTCTGACCGAGATGAGTTGTCCATCGTAACATCCGAGGAGAAGACCAGCGCTCGCAAAGCAACGCACACGCCGTCGGAAAAGCAGCCCGGTAACACGGACAGATTCATTTCCATCGAAGACGCACTAAATATTCTCGATAGCGCCCAAGAAGTGTCAGTTACCCCGACATCAGCAAAAAGATCGCGAGTCTTCGCTAAGACGGCAAAGTTCACTTCTGCCAAAAAGAACAAAAAGCGAGACTTTGATGAGTCGCAAGACGACGAGAACGATGAGTACGAAGAAGAGGACGCGTCGAAAGTCGAACGGCTGCCGGAAAAGTTGGCCGGCAATGAAAAACCGCCGCGCGAGTCCGAAAATCTGCCCTTGCATGTCTTCCTAAGCCGCAAAGTGCAGGAATCGAAGAAGCGCAAACAGCAAGAGCTCAAAAGACTCCAGGAGGAGCAGGAGCGCGAGCGCATCCTCGTGGACATGCAGCCCACGCGACGCCAAAGGAAGTGCGCCATTGGCAAGCAGGGTCTGCTCGCGGAGATCAGCAGCTCGGACGAGGAGTTACTGGTGTCCTCCAGTGGCAAAAGGTCCGTGGAGAAGATCGAGAGCCATGAAAAGCCACGTGCTGGCAAACAGAGACAACGCGAGTCAAAGGAAAGGCGCAAGGAAAGGTACATCGAGAAAAAACACGAACAGATGATAGCCAAAGAACAAAAGGCCATAGAAGAAGCGATAATGCGCGAACTCGAAGAGAAGAGACTGAGCGCGACCAGTGAGGCTTCGGGCTCCGAGAAAGACGAGAAAAGACAGCCCTACGTATCGAAAAAAGAACCTATCGAAACCAGCGCCAAAGAGGTGTCGGTGGTTGGAGACAAACTAGCAAGATCGAGAAAACAAAAGAGCTACGAAGAACCAGATGACTGTTTCGACAATGATGAATCCATCGAAACTTCGAAACTGACAACAAACCTCGACCAGGACACAGGGAACGACGAATCACCCAACAAGACCTTGGACGAGGTGGTGCCTCCCAAAAAGAAAAGATCGCCCAACAAGGCATCCCAGAAAAACACGAAGAAGGCCGCAAGGACCGCAGCAGAGTCAAAAGCTCCGGGCGATGGGAAGAAGAACAACAAACGCGCGTCTGGTGCGTCAAGCCATCGTCGTACGTCCAAGAACTGCAGCAAAGATAGAAAGGACGTGCAAGGGCGGTCGCTAAGCAGCAAGCGAGAGTCCGACTTGGACGGCGACGAGGAGCTCAAGGCGACGAGGTCCTGGAACAAGGTGGACGAGGCCGTAGGTGTGGCGATAGGCCGACGGAAGCGAGCCGCTGCCAACCAGTTGTACTATTGGTCGAGCTCGAGCGACGACGAGGAGATGGCCAAGGCCACGATCGCGCCGCAAGCGACGGTAGCTCCAGTCCCAGCTCAGGCCGGCCCGGAGCAGGACGACAAACAGGAGCAGCACGGCTGGATCGTCGGCGACTCTCACAAGCGAATGATCACTATGCTGGCGATGGAGAAGCAGATGAAGGAAAAGCGCCGGAGGAGCGAGAATGACGAACAGTCGCCCGCGACGGTGGCAGCATCGACAGCTGTGGTTGCTGCTGACGTGGACGGCAAGACCAAGAAGCACAGGAGCAGCCTGTCCTGATACGGGCTCGACGACTAAGGCACTTTCGGATCGACGGCGCGTGACAGTTGCACGCTCTCGTAGACGGACGGGCAATGGCCAGCCCCTCGATCCGACTAGTTTCCTGCGGTGGAAAATGTGAATCAACGCTTTTGTACAATATAACTTTCGTGGACTCTACTTAACACGACTTTGATCGTCTGTTGTTCTTTGTGAAACGTGTGTATTATATGAGAATTAGAAGAAAAGAAAAAAAAACACTTCCCTCTTGTCGACTTAGGAATACGTGTGCGAAACTTGTAAATGAAATGCGTTTTAAGATAAGCTAGTGACATTCATTGTTTTTTTTAAATTAAATGTGACGTATAGATTTTGCATATGTAAATGTACAAGCGTGTTTAGAGAGTTTTACCGACTTGGCGAGCTTAACTAAGTAGCCAATGCAATATTGTTTTCCTTACTTTTACAAGAGCAGTGAAATAAGTTTGAATTACCCTGTCCATGTATATTACGTTGTTAACGGTAGCTTTTTTTTTTATAGTGGTAAAAGTAGTGCGTTTATGGAGAAACTACCAGTTACTGCTATAAGAGTGGACTATTGTGCATTGTGGGGGTCGATTTACTTTGTGGTTGAGTGTATGTGATTCCTTGAGCAGATATTGTGGACGTCGCTGCAGCTTAAGCGATAAAAGAAATAGTAATAAATCAAAATTTACGGCATCATTATCTACGACGATAAAAATTTAGCTGACTTAATTACTATTTTCATTTAGAAAATCAAATAAAATTTTCTTTCTAAATAGAATAAATGCTTATTTGTGTTAATATTAAGTCGAAATACTACTGCCATCAAACTCTTACTCAATAGGTACGCAATTTACCTTATTTCTTCATACGATTTACGCCTGTACATCTCTACACTGATGAAACGTATAAACTCGATTTCTTCTAAGTAGCTTCTCTTTTTTTTTCTTCTTAAAAAAACTAGTGTTTTATTAAAATCGAAAAAACTGTTGCTTCATACGATGCATTGTACATACATAGTCGCTTATAGTGTAACGATTAATGATAAGTTTTCGTTTCTTATCACAACCAAGATGTATAATTATGTGGAAGCTGGTGAGATGCAAAATGTTGCATATACTGTATCATTACAATTGTAACTTTGTAAACTTAGACTGAAACCCGATACTTAGATGGTCAAACTGTCGGGCGAGAGTTTGCGAGCGGAAGAGAAAAATTAATTAATTGACGTAATTTAAGGAGCTCTTAGACAATATTAGAAAAAATTCCGTTCAAATGGTCCTTGTTTCTTTTCTCTCGTTTGATATTTCAAAGCAAAATCTCTTTACGTGTGATGATAGGAAAAGTACGAACAAAAATAAAAATTAGAAAACTTTTATCGTCTACTCAACGTCTGTGCTTTCTTCCTAAGCTTAATAGATTTTGCAACATATCGCAGGGATCTTGGTTTAATCAAAGATCGATATTGTTGAAGATTTATAGTAAAATTATAAATAGATCGTCTGGATGTGCGTTTACATTGACCCATGCCTATCATATTGTAAGAAGTCTCAATATCGATTTTCATCCCATTTGTTTGACTTTTCATATTTCGGTTTCCATGTGTTCATTTGTTTGTTTAGAGGGTATTGCAATATAATCACTTAAGTCATTGGATTTTTTTCCATCAGAATTGAGAAGAAAATTTTTTTTGGTGTACGTTATGAATTGTGTATTGGTGTGTACTAATGAACTTATAGGGAAAAATAAAACAAAAATATAGATCCGTTTGATTTTCTATTACTATGCATAAGACGATGTGATGCATTACAGATAAAATAAATATTATAATTATACGAATAATAATAGACTTTATTGTAAATTTACTGCCATAATCATTTATATTATCGTACGAAAGCCTATGGAAATAGCTATGATATATTGAAATTTCGATTAATTCCTGTAAAGACGAGATGTTACACATCCAGTGTAAATAGAGCATATTTTCAATGTGTCTGAAAAAGTATGTTTTGTAATATAAGCATTGCAAAAAAATAAAACTATTAAACAAACTTTTCTATTTTTATTTTATTACACTCAATGAATATAATATGTTTTATCACGTTGTTTTTGTCACTGTAAACCTTTACCAAGCAAAAATTATCTCGTTCACTTGATTATTTATAAAAACAAGTAACAAATTAAAACAAATGAAATTTTAAATTTTTTTTCTGAAAATTTGAAAAAAAAATGTAATTTGATTTCGTCATTAAATAACGACAGTTCATCATTCGTATGAAAAACTAGTAATAATTAGAAGCAATTTTTATCAGTTGCTCAAAAATTTTATGACTGTTGATGATAAATAGTACGTTTTATAAGCTACAATTTTTTATTATTTGGAACAGCATTAAATGCCAGTTTTTATATTCTTCTATAATTTCCAAGATATTTTTTGAGAAAAAAAAACCTACCTTATAAATAATAATAACAGGTATTCAATTTTATTCCCAGCCACAAGTCTAAACTTTGTTTTTTCTTATTATCAGTTTTTATTACTGATCATAAGTTATTCACTAAGATAATTTTCACTTGGGTTGGAAATCGTTGTGTTTGATCTCTAAATGTAAAGAGACAAGATATTATTTTCTGAAAATGTTGTAGATTTAGTAGTTTCTACACAAACTTAATCATTTAATTTATGAATAGATGTTAAACTTGCCACACCCAATGGGAGAGTAACATCACGGTAATATTGAGTGAAAAGGTGCAAAGGTGAACTAGATTTTTTAAAAATACCTCAGAAATTTATGCTGAAACGCAGTTTCTTTACGTTTATCAATTTATTTAGTATCTCAAAGGCATCCTCGCGATCTTTTATAAAATTGAATAAGATTATTAGATTTTTTTGTAATACCAAAATAAAATATCGACTAAAGTTTAACACTATTTTTTGGAAATTTGTAATTAAAGCGCAAAATAGACGTTTCTCTATAAGCATCTATACAGTTAAAAGGTATTAAAAAATGAGAAAAATTTAATATTATTTTGGTTCCTGAGATCCTATCCTCTCAAAAACTGGACTAGAACACTAAACTTATTAAACATTAACTTAGCTGTATGCCAAGTTTCGTCTCGTTATTATTTGAATTTATGCTACAACTATCTTAAATAGGACTCTAGACAAGAAAGAAAAGCACTTTTAATTCCAATATTGTAAAGTCTAGAGTACTGAATCGAACGCCTTCGCAAAATCTAAATAAACAGCGTGAGCTTATCCGTTTTTGTCAAAATCGAGGATCGTAAAATCTGTAAGCAATAATAAATTAGTGAAGATACATCCGTAGGGAAGAAACCATACTATTCCTGGACCACTTTGACTTTGGATTCAAAGTTAGAGAATTTGCTGATAGCGTCGAATAATTTAGCAACTGAAGATAGAATGGTTATGGGTCTATAGTTAGAGAGAGATTTTTTCACTTCTAGATTTACAGATTTATATATAGAGTGAAGAGTGTGTGTAGAGTATGTATTTATTTAAGCTAAGGACCTGCGGTTCTTATTAGCCTAGGCTCAAGTTTTTACAAGACTGCTAAAAGCAGTTTATACAAGGTTAGTGATACGCAGATCACAATAATACAAAATGTATCATAGATACATTAATTACAATAAAGTTAATTGAAGTAAAGTGTAAAATAATAGTTAAAATAATTTAAAATCAATGAAATAGTAAAAATAAAATAAAATATAGGTGTAGTA